AAGATCCTCGAAGAGGAAGTACATTCGATTTCCGCGATTGTTTGATTCAACCAGGACTCACATCCTTTGTGTAAGACGGCAACGGGTGGGGAGTATTTGACCGTGAAAAGTTGTTTTTGATTGTTTATTTTTTGCTTAGCTACCTTACACTAGTAGGTGAGACACAATAACCATTTCTGACGATTGATCGTCACTGCCTTTGCCCCTAACCCTGTTCCTCAAGCTTTAGGGAAAGTTTGGTGAGATTCTAAGTGAATGGGGCCGTAACAGAGGACGAAGCCTGGGGGGGACCCTCTCTGCAAAAGTTTCTAATGTCGTAGTGGTGTGTCCTGCACGACGCAGGCATTGTCACCCTGCTTTCCCGGCCTTCAACCTACCGCCTTCAATTTTTTTTAACTAGCAGTATCATAAGAAGTGCAACTATGGTTTCAGTGATAGTCTCGCGATAGCGCTGGTGATCAATGTATTGTTACGAACTGAGTAAAGCACATGTGTCAGAGCATACCATGGGTCCAGTGATTTGGCAGATCCATTGGACGTTAGTGCCGTTGGCCACCACTTGGTGTTTTGGCTCCAAAATCCGTACTCGAAGCGCTGAAGGCCGTGATTAGAGCGAACACTCGGTAGCACCACATTGGCATCACTTTAACGGCACTGACTGACACAAGACGAAAGTCACGACGACGACGACGAAATGGGGTGGTGGTGATGGTGGCAAGGACATCCCATTGACAAACACCCATCCCAGTGAACACCAAGCGAACATAGTTTATTAAAACGAACAGAAATATGTGTGTGCGAACAACGGGATTACGTCATGATGCTTGGGTGCACAAACACGAAACAAAATTGAAACGTGACAAAAAAAATAAGGAGACGCCTAGAGTGATGATGAAGGATACGAAAAGGCAGTTTTGACGTGGGCAGATGCTTATGAGGGATCGTGCTGGTAGTGTGAACATTGAACGGACCACAAAAAAAGGCTACACACTCAAGGACAAAGACGCAATAGGTTGATTGTGCCGAACACATTCAAAAAGAGCAAAATATTGAGTGAGAGGACACCAACTAGGTGTGAGGCACATAAATTGGCGATTACAACAAGCATCACACCAAGCACGGCACAGTCGGCACGTTCCCTTGACGGAGCTGCCGTCAACGGAACGGACCGACTACCGGATAGCGCGATCAGTGCTGGTAGAATCGCGATCGCACGCGGATACGACGTCTACGATGCCGATTGCGACGGAGTGGTTCACCTTCGTGAGGAGGAGGTGGCGGTACGTAGGTCCTGTCGCTGGGACCAACGTGTCCGATTGGTTCGCAAGGACGTCCAGCAATCTTGTGCGAGCGCGTGTAGCCAGGGGCACATCTGCAAACGGTGGAATTTCACCATGAAATACCCACACCCATAGATCAGTAACGACTTACTCATCGCAAAGCCGACCAGCAAGGCCTGCTGGACAGTTTCTGCAGGCAACTTGACCCTGTGAATCCAGGTAGCAGTCGGCAGCTCCTCTGAAAAACAGCTGATGATTTCAGTGAATCTACTATCTCATTTCAAAAAGAAAGAACACCTACGGGCATGGGCAGGGAGTACAGTCGTAGGGGGTTCCTTTAGTGGCGTCACCATAGAAGCCCTTCTTGCATCGTTCGCAATGCGTTCCTTCGGTATTGTGCTCGCAGAGCTGGAATTTTCGGAAGATGAAATATTGAAAGTCCTTTTTGAAAAGGAGAACAACGGACCAGACATCTTCCGAAGGAATCGCAGCCTCTTGGAGAGTGATTGTTGCAGTGACATGGGGGACGAGTGGCAGCTGGCTGACAGTCATGAGGTGTACCTCGACGAGCATCTCCAATGAAGCCTGGCTTACAGCGTTCACACTGATCTCCCTCAGTGTTGTGTTGGCAATCCACGCAGTAGCCGTACTCCTGAAAGAGCTCGGTGAGATCGGCATGGCAAAATCTATCTGGCGATAAGGAACTCCTCGAGGTACAGTTCTCGATAATCATATGGCGGGGTCGGAACTACCACTATTTTTTTCCATTGGAGCGCTTCTTTCGCACCGCCTTATTGCAAGCATAGATGTGCGCGCTGAAGGAATGACGCAGTGATTGGCCCGACACCGCCCATGTGGTCATCGAGGACCATGCCTTGTAGGAAATCTTACCTTGTCGCATTGACTTGCGTGACCATGGCATTCACAGCGTTCGCAAAGTCCAAGATAGAGACCACCTGGAAGAGAGAAAGTCAAATTTTTTCGCAGTATTCTCCCGAAAACTTCAGCAGTTACCTCCAGTCCTTGAGTATCCTGGAGCGCAGTCTTCGCACGACGTTCCGATGTAACCAGGAGGGCACTGGCACTGCTCTACCTGGAACAAAGTCACCTCATCGAGCTGCTCTAGCCATAAGTGCATTTTATAGAATTGAAAACAGACATCAAAAGCTGAAGTGATTTGCTAACCTCGTAGGCAGTGAGTCCTGTACCATGAGGTTCAGCATATTCGAGCGATACGCTAATGAGAGACGATTGGGAACATTCCTCCATGTAGGTGGCCTAAACTGTCCTTCTTAATGATTCTAGGATTAGCTCTAAACGGCCCGCAGTGACGCTGGTACAGGAAATGTGAAGGAATTTTCTTGCATGAAGCCACAGTTCACGCTGTTGGTATGGCGGAGCCAATACTAACATTATGTTTTCCTCACTGGACACAACGGAGGGCTTGACCCTTGTTAACCCGAAGAAAGCGCGCTAATGCGCACCATGCGCACCGGTTTACCGAATCCGCCCACTCAACCAACGTGGGCTGTGCCTTTAGCAACTTAAGCGAAAGCACTTATCGGTTTTATTTGTATGAGTAGCCTACTGGATGAGTTAGGATTTACGGCACAGCTGCTTCACGTCGATCACTGGAAACTCTAACGCAGGGAAGGGGGCGTGTTTGGCAGCTTGGGAAGGGGGCTGCATTGCCTGAGGAAGAAGCTTGTGCCTGACCTGAGAGAAGTTTTCCTACTATTGATGCTTCGTGAGCACTGTAAAAGAGCCCGTCAGTTTGGAGCGCTGCAGAAAGGCGAATTCCCACTGATCTGAAGAACCACGCCTCCCCCACGCTTGACGACAAAACTGGGAACGGGTCATTGCATAGCAGGGTTCTCCCCCAGAGAAGTGCGAAATTCAGAGGGTCGTATTAGGAAGATTGTCCCCGATGCTAGTACATGTCCTCTTAACAGTATTACCTTGATCAAAATGTCATCAAGATCGGCGAGTGCCATAAGAAGGTGTTCACGGGTTCCTTGCTGGCCATCAACACGCTGCCACCTGAAACAAATGATTTTCTATTGCAGGTCGGACGTTGACCCCTCTACGACAAATTGATTACTTGTCTTCGAATATTTTCAGCTCAACAGTGTTTTCTCGGTCAGGGTAAAGCGGAGCACGATGCGTGTACTGTAGGGTGATGTCGTTGCCCTGAAATGGACCCAATAACCTGATTAAATGAACTAAAAACGCATACTTGCCTGGCAATACAAAGCCTACTCACTCTGATGATAATATCCGGGTCTTGATTAGGTCTTCCTTCGCCAGAGTAACGGAACGTGTACTTCAGCGTTCCTCCGTAAGCGGTAACCTTGTTTCCAAGGAATTTCGCCGGTAGTTTCCAATAAAGTACTTGGCCAACTGCCTGAAATTTTTCGAAAAATTAACGCCAGCACTGTTGCGATCCACACGACAGAACCTACGAAAAGGTTTTCTATTTACGTTTGGGTTCACGGTCCTTAAAGAGGCCTCGCCCACAGAATGGTGACTATCTCATTATTACCAGGACACGATTTTAGACTCTCTCGTTGTCCCCATCATGCTACTGCAAAGCTGTTGGTCTCGCGTCCTTGACGATTGGCCACTCCACAAATACATGTTAATCTCGCCGTTGAAATATAAGGCCTGTAGATCTGTATAACTAGTCCCTCATTACAGTATTATAAGAACTAGTAGGTGAAGCCTTCCTACAAAAGATAAGACGAAGATCGGCAATCCATCCACCGTCTTACTCTAATAGAAGCATCTGTGTATCATTTCCTAATTACAGTGACGCGTGTTAAGCCTGTTTGCCATTTTGCGTCAGCGCCCAGCGCCCGTCGGTATAGTAGGCTGCGACCTTGAAGAGAACAAGGTGCAGCATCGCTGGGAGAATCCCATATGTGTCCTACTTGATGGGGCAGGGGCACCAGAGAGAATCGTTTTGGCATCATTAATTCACGCCGACGCTATACCCTGGAAAGGAAGGAACCTTGCCGGTGACTAAGCCACACTGGACATTCCCAACTTTCACAATCACAATTTGGTTCCGTAAGGATTGTAAGCCACTACTTGACTGACGCAATACTGCAGACTGGCCTCCAGCAAGACACATAGCATCCACATAACTTGATCACTGCACAACTTTCTTCTTATTGTTGCATATAACGTTCCGATAAGGAGCACAGTCCACGTTAATGGTATGGGCGGGGTCAGGCGCACCACCGTTCCTTCCTAATCGGTGCACCCTCCTTCCAATGTGGCAAAAAGGATGGGCGCGGTAATACAGAAAACAAAGCGGTTTGACTGATTCTTCCCATACCATTCATCTGTGGCTTTAAAGGTTGGACCTGGTTAGTCATTTTTGGCAATAAGGGGAGACTAGTTCGATTGCTGAAGGGGATCTCTGAGAACAAACTCCACAGATATTCTAAAATTTATAGAATTTCTTGACTCTCCTAGCCATTTTGGAGCGAAAATCTTAGGCTTACTTGTTGATGAATTTTGTGACCTCCTTGAGCTCCAGAAGAGCACACTACTCATTTATTACTCATTTATCAGAGTGCTAGCTATGAGCAGGAAAATTTGATTGATCAAATAAAATTTTGCCGGGAATGGAATGAAATGATAGGGATTAATACTAAGACTGAGCGGTTTTTCAAGAATAACAGTGTCAGTATGGCTACTGCGAAAAGGAACGGTTACGGGCACCTTCTAGATTTCTTTGCACCAGGCGTTGCCCAAGTAGCAAATATTGACGACTTTAGAGAAAGATTTTAACAGCGCTGTAATTTTTCTGCGACATTCTTTTCAAACACTCGCAAATCATCTAAGACCTCTTTGAATCGTTGTCATTCTTTTGAATGACTTTCAGATAGCCGGTTGTCCCTTTCGCTATGAGAATATTTTCTCCCCGTTTTTGCTCTCAAGGGTTCTCCCATCTTGAGTGCATCGTTGCCCTGGTTACAGGAATAGAATAGCGTACAAGATTAATTAATGATTACAAGAGAACTTTAATTCAATAGAAAACGTCTGCTATGACGTCAAACGTACGCGTCATTTGTCGGGCAATTGCTTTCACGCAAAAACTTATGCTTTTACAAATTGAAAACATAAAGGATTCCTTTTTTGGAAATGAAGTTCAGTGTTTCACGATTTCACGAAAAACCTCTGCACACGTCGATCTCACGTTGTTCATCTAGATTCTATCAGATATAAATCTCTCAAAAATGGAAGGCGGAACACGCTGCTACCGAAATGATTCATGGGTCATATCCCAGATCGGGAGACGGGCAAGAGAATCGTAATGTGCCGCTCAGCGCGCCTCGAAATGGACCGCGCGGCGTTCCCTTTGATTTGCCCGCTCACTGCGCGCGCGAATTGCGATTCTCTTCCACAACACCCTCCTAGATCTTGCACAGGTATCAGTTCTGCTTCAAAATGATTCTTGTACGCTGAACGCACACAACATGCTCAATTGCGCGCATAACAGCATTGCCCAGGCTGTGGGTGGGAACTGGAGCTTGCGGCACCCTGTAGTTTTCGTTTATGTATTAGGGTGGTGAGAGAGTACTGTCATACCTCATAGTACCTGCCCATTATCTGAAGAGGGTGAGCGATAATGTGAGCAGCTATCACGAAGGAATAGTGCTCCTACTAGCACATCGCTTTAAAAGCTTACTCTTCTTCTTTTGCAACATGGACGAGAGTGTAGTCCGGTACCATCGGCACCAACTCTTTCAAGCGCTCCCTCAAACTCTTTCTTCTACCACCCTGCGCACAAACGTGAGCTTTCGATGCCAATATAGGGAGCTCGCATAAGGACGCCTCAATTCATGGGGATTTACTGCTGAAGTTCAGGTGGGAAGCCTACATTTTGAAGACAAAATGAGGTTGACATGTCCATGTAACTCAGTTAGGGAGCCTGAGGCTCATGAAACCAAGTGCGATGAAGAAGCTCTTTTCACGTAACTCCGCTGCACAAAACTGGTTGCACATCAAGTGAAGCGTTAATCAGGAGACGGAATCTTTGTCTGCCACAGGCTGTTTCAATATACAGTGCAGCCTACACTTCCAAAAAGTTGAGCGAAAAGTGACTGCAGTAGAATGGATGCCTCCCCCCCATTACATCGATGTAGCACAGACATTGCTCTTTCCAACCCCTCGTTACCTTCCATACATACCCATTATGTGGACGAGGAAACCTCAACGACCCGAGCCCAAGTCAAAATCGAGATGATGTCCACCTTCGTGTCGTGCCGACTTGCATTGTAAAGCGATGGCATCCACTAGGTGCAAAAACTGGCAGGTATCCCGTAATAAAAACGCTACATATTCTTGAACTTACACGCCTCTCTATAAAATAAGAGCCCAATTAAAAAATATGAAAGAACTTCCCCGTCAACCTAAAATTATTGTATACCCTACATTCTCTCAAATAATAGTCTTCTCTCTGATACCAGCAATATCATGAGTGGGACCTAAACACAGTAGCAAGAAAAGCATAAAAAACTGCCCTCAATGAGGCCCTCGTTCTTGCATTATCGCAGAAATCCGAGGATTCTTGCAAATTTGCCAGGTCGTGTGTCCCTTTCTCAGTTAGGAAGACTTATTTAGCTCCACCTTTTCCACGTCATGCTTCCAAGAGTTTTTCTGCCCCAACTACGTGGTTGGCCTGGTCACCGGGAGTAGATGGTACTAATCGATGTTGGAGGCCACGAACTACACCGTGAGAAGCATTACTACATGTTCCCCCTTTTGAGGTAGAAAAATTTATTTTTATAGAGATTATTTCAGAAGAGCTTTTGAATTAATCATTGGTTTGTCGGTTTCGGATCAGAGAACACTGAAAAGGGGATTTTTGTCCTCTTTAAGCTTATATCGGTACCATAGACTTTGATATGACATGCAGACCACGGGGCTACTCCGCCCCTGGGAGACGGGCAAGAGAATCGTAATTTGCCGCTCCGCCGCGCGCGGCGATGGCGCGGCGTTTTCTTAACTCGTGTTAACCTGTCGACTGGAGCACCGGACTTCATGTAGACCCCGTCCGTAGACATTCATGACTATTTTCGGTTCTGAATTGCCTGTTGTCGCCATCTACTACCTGGAACCATCGTCATTTGCGGGCGCGACGTCGACGCCCACCGACGCGGCGAGTTACGATTCTCTTGTCACATACCCCTCCGCCCCTAGAGTAGTCTCCGCTCATAGACTAGCCGGAACCATGCCCCTTGGAGCTCCTATCAAAGACTGGTTTTAAACATCGAACAGAAAACGTACCTCGTTGAAATCAACA